TTCTTAATACCTTCACTTCCCCCCTCTTCCCTCAAATACCTCTTCCATCTGGCAACCGTCAAAATGTTTCTGTATCTATGAGTATGTTTCTGTTATGCTTGTCCATTTCTCTTGTTTTCACTCAGCACAATGCTCTTTAGGTCCATTCATATTGTTGCAGATGGCAAGATTTTATTCTTTTTTATGGCTGAGTCATATTCCATTGTATATACTCAATCTGTGATTGCTTTCCTATCTTGACTATTGTAAACAATGCTGCAATGAACATGTGAATGATAGATATGCATTTATTGTCATTTTATTGTTCATACCTTTTGTCTTTTTTCTTCTTCTTCTTCTTCTTAAAGATCACTTAACATGTCTGTAATACCGATTTGAGGGTGATAAATTCCTTTAGCTTTCCCTGTCTGGGTAGCTAATTTATATGTCCTTCAATTCTAAATTATGGCTTTGCTGGCTAGAATAATCTTGGTTGTAGGTCCTTGCTTTTCATTACTTTGGATATTTCTTGCCAATCCCTTCTGGCATATAGAATTCCTGTTGAGAAATCAGCTGATAGTCTTATGTGAGTTCCCTTGTAGGTAACTGTTTTTCTCTTGCTGCTTTTAAAATTCTCTATTTGTCTTTCATCTTTGCCATTTTAATTATGATGTGTCTTGGTGTGGGCATCTTTGGGTTCCACTTGTTTGGAACACTTGTGCTTCCCTAACTTGTATGTCTGTTTCTTTCACCAGGTTAGGGGCGTTTCCAATCATTTTTTCAGATAAGTTTTCCATTCCCTGTTTTCTCTCTTCACCTTGCAGCATCCCCATGATGTGGATATTGGTATGATTGACTTTGTCCTAGAGCAGCAGTGCTCAACCTGTGGGTCACGACCCCTTTGGGGGTTGAACGACCCTTTCACAGGGGTCGCCTAAGACCATCGGAAAACACATATATAATTACATATTTTTGTGATTAATCACTATGCTTTAATTATGTTCAATTTATAACAGTGAAATTGGGGGTCACCACAACATGAGGAACTGTATTAAAGGGTTGCGGCATTAGGAATGTTGAGAACACTGTCCTAGAGGCTCCTTAAATTATCCTAATTTTTTTTAAATTATTTTTTCTTTTTGCTGTTCTGATTCGGTGTTTTCTGCCTCTTTATCTTCCAACTTGCTGGCTTGATCCTCTGCTTTGTCTACTCTAATGTTGATTTCCTGTAAAGTATTCTTCATTTTAATTAGTGTATTCTTAATTTCTGACTCACTCAGCCACAATCCCTGCTGGCTTTCACAGCCAGAAGTCTGGCTGTGAAACCCTAGATTTCTGGCACTGGAACCCTGGGCTGGGATACCAGGTGTGGGTCTGGGACTGCTTAGGGGGACCTCTGCAGCCTAATGTTTAACAACCACACATGGGTGTGGGACCAGCCTGTTCTGTGCCTCTGCCCCTCCTATCAGTCTGTCTGTGGCTTCTTCTTTATATCCTTAGCTATAGGACTTCCATTCAGCTTTGATTTCATGCAGTTCTGAATGATGTTTGTACTGTAGTTTAATTGTAATTTTGATGTGGTTGTGAGAGAATGCAAATACCATGTTTACCTGTGCTGCCATCTTGACCAGAAGCTTGAAATTGCTTTTTTAATGCCAAATAGCTAGTAAGAAAGTGAAGGAGTGTAGACACGATGACTGTATTTTAGACCCTGTCTTCAATGCCTCCTAGAATGCGAACAATATATAGATATTAGGGGAAGGTGATCAAGGACATGAAGGACAAAAGAAGTGAGGAGTATTAAAAACTAGAGTGAAAGATATTAGATAGAATCCTCACCTTCCCCAAACCATTCAATGACCTCTCCAGACCTAGGAATTTAATTATCTTCTTCACCTGTGCATCAGGGTGCCTATCCTGCCTGTCTTGACTGTCAGGTGTCTTGGGCCTCTCTGCTTGGACTTCATTTGATTTGCACATAGCAGTAACTTGAATGCAGTCACCTCTAGTTAGGACAATCAGAGAAAATGGCTTCATTTGGAAGACTAAAGGAAAATTTGTCCACATTTACTAAATACTCTGCTCCTTGGTTGTTGACAAAGAATAAAGGGACAGACTTTTACTATTTCCCAGGTGGTAGTGGTTTGAAGCAGTTTTCTTCCTTTTTCATCAGAAAAAAGGCTTTAGCCTGAGAAACGATAAGAACTAAGATCCTAGTAAATAAAGAAACAGAAACCTAATATTACCAACGTGTACGAGAGCAGAATATGACTTCTGTATTAAGGGGAATGATGAATGTTTTCACATCATGGGAACCACTTTAGCACAACCTTAAAATAGTGCTTTAGAGATATGTGAGGACATAGAGAAATTTGTCTGTACACTTTAAGCCTTTTCTCTTCCACAAAGACTTTTTGTAAGAATATGCTTTGGGCAAGAGCTAAGAGAATCTAAAAGAACATTTCTAGCCTTGAGTGTTGCTGCCACCTACATGGCAGGGAGACTACACACAAAGCCCAACACCTTTCTGGACAGGAATGCATTGCAGTATATATACGTTCTATGAAGACATACTTTAGAAATCCCCAAATTCGTTTCTTTAATTTGACTATGCCAATGACAATCGAAATAATAGTATTTGTTATTTTCACCTCATTTTCTGTCTCAAGTTCTTGCAGAATTGTACCAAATGGTTTTGCTATGATTGGTGGGAATACACTGATTATTTGAAATAGAAGTTGATCCAATAAAATCTTCCTTCTCATAAAAACAGCCCTAAGTGTAACTTGATCCCTGTGGCTGTAACTGTCTCCGGAACAGGATGAAAACTCCTAATGTCACTGGGCTATAGGGTTTTTGTTGTTGTGGTTTGCTTTCCTGGCAGACTCTACCATACAAAAGGAAAATTAAAGAATGTTTCTTCAGTTAATTATAACTATCAATTGATGTAAATGGAGATAATATAAATGTAAGAATTCTTTTGATGTAGGTAAGCGTGGTTACTTCTGATAGGAAATGTGATGGCCACTGCAGAATTATCAGGACATCTCTTTAAAGTCTAAAGGAAACTTGTAATATGTCACGAACACATCATAGACTGTCCTCTTATCTGAGATGGCATCATTTGAGACCACCAAGCTCAGTTACGGAGGCTGTGTGAAAACAACTTTCTCCCTAGAAAACACACGAGCAAGATCGAAAAGCTGATTGATGACTTCATAGATAATAGCAATTAAAATGATTGTTAAGTGAATAGATGATAGGTTTTGTGAGCTTGGACCAACCAATTATTGCTGTTACATAATGTTATGAATATTGGCAGTTTGCAGGCATATGGCACTTTGAAGATTTAGGCACAGTATTGTACTAAATCTGTATTAATTATTAAAAACCTTGTATCCTTGAGTAAGAAAAAAAAAATCACTGCTGCGTTTACAATCAGCCATGTGCTGAAGGATCCCTAAAGGATCCCTAAAATTCCGGATAGAAAAATACGCTTTGTGCACTGAAAACAAAAGGCACTTGGAGAAACAGTGTCAAAAGAAAGAACCATATATTTCCCCTGGACTCCAACAGAAGCCATGCCAAACATGTGCAGTGGTCTGTGGCTTTAGTTTTCACAGGGTATTAAAAATGATTCTTTACCATTTGTATCATTGTAATCATGCTCATAATGATGCAATGGTAAGTCTACTTACTTACCTGCAGTCTGCTTTTTGAGATAAAGGTAAATTTTTCCCAGATTTAATAAATAGGGTCTAAGACTAGGGAGTGGCAAAAAACTCATTAATCAAGATATATTTAAATGCAATATTAATGAAAATCAATTGAATGAAAAAAAAATGATGTCAAAATTCTAAATAAAGATGGGATCTGAGAAGCTGGGAATGAAGGTGCGAGGAGTAAGGAGTTATGCCAGGACAGGCCTTTCCCGAGCTCTGCCCTGGGAAACTGTTCAATTCCAGTTTATGTATTTTCCTGCATGCCATCTGTTGTGTCCTTGTGGATGAAGTCACAGTGAAGTGGCCTGGGAACCACTCACTGTACATGAAGCCATGGGGAACTTCATCAGAAAGATAGCTACTCAAGGAAGTTTTAACTTTGCAATTTTTTGGTTACAGCTACTTTTGAAAGTATTTTACAATGCTGACTATGTACACATTTACCAAGCAATGACTTCCTTACGTGATGAGATAAAACTTTGGGCAGTTTACACGTAAAACAACATTTTGTGGAGAATCAAAGGGTATAGAGCACTGCTTTTAAATAACCATATAATCAAAATGTCTGCAATATAAAAATTGCATGAACGGTCCATTCTGTAAAAATAAGGCTTTAAAAATCAATTGGATTAATGCATTCTGAGCCTTCACTTTAAACACATGGCATAAAACTCAGTTTTTAAAAATTCAATTATTATAATGTGCCCTCTAAAGATTGAAGAGAAACATTATTTTTTGAGTAATTACTCACTTGAGTAATTATAAAAGGTTTAAAAAAGGAGCAGAACATTGGAGAAAAATGCACAAGGAAATAAAAATTGCCCCCAAATACCCCCAACTCGGTAGAATGGTACTATTTAGCAAAGTGTTTTCTTATCATGTTTCTAATGTGACTTGTTCAAAGTAGCCTTAACTTATTTTCTAAAATAGCAACAGAATGTTTCAGGCCTAAGGCCACCTCTGTAGTTGTACGTGATAATGCTATACATTTCACCTTCTATTTGAAGGACTTGACAGTGTTCAGCTTGCCTCCCATGGCCCATCCTGCGGAGTGCCTTCGCACAGACCCTGTGCGGAGCTCCCTATGTGGACGGGGAAGTGAGGCTCTGAGAAGCACAGCAGGGACACGCTGCCCGGGCACGTGGCAGTGAAACCTACGTTCTTTCCAGACTCTGTCCTCCTTGGGATAGCCCGGGTATAAGTCAACAATGAAGAACAGAATTCCTACCAGCGAATTGGAAAAGATGATATTCCTTGGAGGGAAATATATAATCATAAATATCACCAAGATTATTGTCAGAAAAAAAGCACAAGATAATTTTTAATGAATTATTACAATGACAAGGAAGACTCTGGATACAAACACGTTTGCTCACAAATACAATTCAACCACTGGTTACTTAAGGTGAGGCTATCAAAAAGGACAGACACGAAATTAACTTTTGAGCTGTTAGCTGTGGTTAGGGTTGCCACGTGGTTGATCCAAATAATTGTCTGAAAACTTGCTAGTTTAAGTTCTCCTTACCACAGAAATTACTGAAATGTTGAATGTAAGTCAATATTTAAAAAATCATTTTTAAAGAGACTAAATTTTATTAATAACTTGCACATGGATATTAGGGAGTATTATATAAAGTCACATTTTTAGGAATTAAAATGTTTGATAGTTGTTGGTGTTGGCCTCCAGAATTCATACTGATAAACTATTTTAATTAGACATGTAATATGAATTATTAATTTTAGCATCTAAAAATGATGCCAAAAATCTTAAAAATCTCATTTAGTAATGTCAGGATTATGTCAGTTCTAATTTCCTATGGCTAGGGACATCATAAAATATTCATCAAGGTTTCAGTATGGTTTCCTTAGACCTAAAACAATGCTAAATTTGGCAATGGTTTAAATTTATTTTTATTCTTCTTTGAAAAGAGAATAATACACAATACAGCAAATAGATCAGATCACCAAGGGCCTTAATACATGAGCACTTTATGTCTGTTCCTATTTATATTGCTTTGCATATTTTAGTTTAAGAATTCTTGCTAGTCAAGCTTCTTTCTGGGAAAAAAGACTTGCAAGAGTTTATACTCCATAAGGATCAATTATGATGTGCTATAAGTATGGTCCCCTTCCCAAATTCACATCTGTATGGCCAACAAGATCAACCTTTGGCTAGAGACATTAGGTTCTATGTTATTAGAAATCCAACTTAACTGCACAAGTTTGGTCCCGATTATACTCCGTTACACTTATTTGGGCTAATTGATGACTAACTGAAACTGGCTATTTGTTGACAACATTTCATCCTTAGGGATTAGATTTACTGCAGGGTGATTGATCTGATTTAAAACTTCTACTAAAACAAAACGTCCTAACCTAACAAATCAAACAAATTTGGTAAAGTTTTGATTAAATACATTGAAGCAACATTAAATTTAAAAGCATTGTGCGTTACACTGTTTAAAAGCATTGTGGTTTTAATGTTGCTTATTATATAATTCAGGAACTGAAAATACGGAAGAAAATCTAAAATGGTGTTTAAATCTATGTCTGTGGGCTGACATTTCTTGTTGAAAATATTAAAATAAAAGTAAGAAATAGGAGTATAGAATGAATTAGACAACGGTTTTCTAAAATTAGATAAATTTGGATATTTTCTATCAGTAATTACACTTTCAATATACTCTGGCTAAAGTATTAGCAAATCTACTACAACCAAATATCTTGATCAATAACAACATAGCATACATACAACGATAAACAAATGGCATGTTTTGGATCTCTTAATATGTCCAAATGCAATTCCTATAGATGATATTTCATTTAGCACAGCTTGCAGAAGCACATCTTTGCTATCCATGAACGATGCCTTGGCTCACCTAAAAAGAAAACAGATTATCTTGCATTACATGATGAAATAAAGAAAGGGGTGTGGAAGGGGGGAAGAGAGGGAAGGATGAAAGGAAAGAAAGAATGAGAAAAGAAATAAAGGAAGATAAGAGGAAAGGAAGGAAGGAAAAAAAAGGAATTACCTATAATTTCTGCATTTTTTCTATTTATATTAAATATATTAGTATAATAAAATATTGTTATCTTATAAACCAGGTATATTTTAATTACACACATTATTAATATAGGTTGTTTTTTCATTGCCAAAAAGCTGAAGGTTTTCAACAAGATGAAACAGATTAGAAATTAGCATTTTTTCTTAAATTTCAAGGAGCTGAATTATTTTTAGAAAAGCCCACAATTGCAGTTTTAGGGTCAAATGTTTAAATGTTAGTTGCAATATGATTTGAATTATAGAATAAAAGAAAAACATTTATTTCTCGGACTACTTAGATGATTGTTATTGCAGTCTAAAATATATCACTTGCTTTCAATTACTTTGATTATCAAACTAATTGGAGCATGGTGCCTGAGTTAACTACTTCTAAACACATTTATATCAGTGACGTGACCATACATACTAACTCCCACTCCTACTGCAAAAACTCAAAAACCTGATTATTTGGTTTAGTTAAACCATATTCTATATTGTATAATATATGTTACATAAGATAATATATTTGCCAAGAAGTTTTACATTATTTAAAAGTTATTAGGTAATGCTTTAAATGTTTCCCTTTGGGTAAATAAAATTTTGATATTTTAAGCACAACTAGAAAGAGTTTGTGTTTTTTACTACTGAAATTTTTTTTACTCCTTCTAGAACATTTTTTTTTTTTAGCAGCAACCATAAGAAGTGTGTTCTCGATGGCTATGATTGATGGGCTGCTCACACATTCCACATTTTTTCTGCTTCATGCATCATCATCAGCCATCTCCAACACTCCAGTCCTGAATCTGTCCTACTTTCTGTTACCTGATTTTTGCTGGTGATTCATGAGCCAGAATAGTAAAAGAAAATAAAAATCCACCTTAGCACTTCACAATGCAGTATCTCCTGGAAACTATGAGAAATCTAGTTTTGTTCATCAGATTCATGCAAATGCTATATTGACTGACAATGATGTATATAAATCTACACATATAATGTGCTATATAAGAAATCACTAAAATGTTCTATTAATGGCAGAATGCATGCTGATTATAAATTACTTCAGAATGACGTGAAAATTCTTGCCTGAATGCTTTCTTGGTACTTTCTCTATTGTCACTACTATTTTCAGCTGAAGCTATATTTATGTGTACTATCCCTAAGTGCACCAGGAAGTAAAATTCTTCATTTTCCAAGCCAATAGGGTGATAAAAGCTCAAGGTCCCTCATTAACACTTAGATAAACATTGTGAATGTCACACTAAATTTTTTATCATCATGAGTGCAAAGATGAGCAGCAAGAAGACTTTTAAATCCTAGAGAATGGGAACCGAGCTTTAATCACTCCATGAAACAGAAAACAAGAAGTTAACCAGCAAAGGACTAAACTGAACTATTTTGGGGATAGCATCTTTCAGATTCAGAAGTAACCAGGCCTTAAAGAGCCAAAGAAAGAAAGCCTAACGGCCCTAAAACCTCAAAAAAAAAAGGGAGCTGTAAGTTCACGATGTGGTCTCGATGCTTCTATTACCAGACATCCAAGTTATTCCCACAGGTTTCAGGGATGTATAAACGCCAGTGAAGGAGAAAGTAGACTTCACAGACTCTAAGGCAGAAACTTCAATCTGGGATTCACCTGTGAGGCAAAACTCTTTGCTAAGGAATTATTCCAAAGGAAAGACACAGCGGAGGGAGACCTTAACCTATCAGACAAGACCTCCAGGTTCACTAGCAGAGTCAGAGTAACAAGAACGCCCTGGTCTAAAGTTGCTTTGCCAACCTTAATGGCCTGACTGCAGTCACTCACCTGGGTATACAGCTTGACCCAATCAAGACATCACAATGGCATGATGAATCAGGTAGAGCGCTCTGCAGACCAGCTGAACAACCACCCACCACACCTCTAAATCGTGACCTACACGCACACTCCAGCCCATTTACCAACGGTCATCCCACTCTCCCCAGCACCAGAGAGCAGTGATGTCCATGGAAAAGTAACACTCTACGGATGAAGTTCAAAACCCATTGTATTCAAATATGGTCCGTTCACGAAGGCGATCTTACTGTCTTATATAAATTCTAAAAATTTGGTTTTAGTAGTAACATTTTAAATGTTCTATCAATATTTTAAAAACTTCGACTTTACCTTTTAAAAAAGCTATTTTAGTTTTTCTATCTTCAATGCCCCTTTGCACTCTGCATGTGCCAATGAGTTGGTAGCAGCCATATGAAGCTAGAAGAACTAAAGTGAAATGTTTAGAGGATTTACAAAGAAAAGACTTTATGTGAAAAGAACAATATATGAGATAATATTCTTCAACTGTTGCTTGAATGGGAAAATGATTTTTTGTTTGTTTACATTTTCTATATGCTGTCCCAACAATGGGTCTATTCATTAAAAAATGATGTAATAAATATGTTAGTCATTTAGAATCGCATAGATAAAACTATATAAGGTCACTATCCATTAAAGCTTAAAGACTGACCACATTCAATTTTATAACTGGGGGATTTTGCACGTAAATGAAAATGTTAAAAGAAATTTTAAATTATTGATAATATTCTAGGTGAAATGGTAGGAATGATGCATTCATGATTTAAATTCACTTCCTTCTATACAAGGAATAACAAATATATGAATGTAATTATAAGCTTAGCTACTGAAGCACATGTATTGGTTTGAAGACACCTTACCAAAGCTTATCACTTAAAACCCCCCAATTTCTTTTCCTTCTAACAAAAGTGGCTAAACACCCTCTTACGTGGTAAATAGAGCTAACTAGGTCACTAAAGTAATATTTCTAGTTTTGGAGTCCTTATATTTGAATGATTTAATAGTTTGAATATTTGAATGACTTAATAGTTTGAAGTTAATTTTTGGACATTGAGAAGTAGACAGTCATATTTACACAGGTCAAGAAAGTCCCTCTATGCCACCAATTTCACATATCTCCCTCCATGTTCAGTTTTAAGAATTTTGCTTCTCCGATGCTCATACTTCAAAAAAAGAAGCACTCTTTCATCAAAATCTTTCTTACTAAACAAGCACCTCTGTCAGAAGTGTCTTAATTTCTTATCACAGAATTTTATCCACACAAGGAGCAATAAATAATTCATGCCATTGCCTCTTTGTTGTGTGTCCCTGAACTGCACGGAGCTGGAAGGCTGACAGCTGTGTCAGGACAAGCGCCAAAGATCTGACATGACAAGTGACTAACAAGTTTCTTTCAGTTCATAGTGAAAGAAGACAATGGCCCAAAGTGCAGAAAGGAATCCTGAAACAAAACAAAACTGCGTCTTTCTTTTTACCTAAGTGTTTGCAATGAGCTTATTTCCAACCCACAAGCCCTGGTCATTTTATAGGACTGCCCAGCCCCCTTTATTCCTCACACTTGCTTGGCCATTTACGCCTGGCCACGGATCAATATGAGAAATTCTTGGAGAAATACGATGTCTCCATGACAACCAAGCCACAAATTCTCAGTGGAAGGCAGTGAGACCAGGAGTGAACTCTCCAGAGGTTTCCAGGCCTATAAGGCAAGATGTCTTAAAATGCAGGAGTGGACAGAGGAAAAAGCCAGAGTAATTCATTCTTTATTACCAGTTTAATGATGTCTGATGTAGAGACAGTACTCACTTTTTAAGTTAAGATTCTTTATCAGCACCCATATTTTCTAATTAATCTTTCTGTTTTTTGATACCTCCTTTTGTTGATATCAATCAGATTTGACTAGGTTATATTTGAATCTCACTACAATTTCATACAGAGGGATGGAAATTTATGCGATGTTGGAAATGGTATAAAGTGAATCTATTCTTGCCAAAGCAATGAACCCTTAGGTAAAGATATGCCTCATGGATTTAACTGCCTGACAAATGGTTGATAGACAACCAATTATTAAGACAGTTTAAAAATTTGAGTCAAAACAAAAAGTTTATTTTAAATTAATTTTTATTTTGGAAATTTAATGCTACCCCTATCTTCTCCCTTTTAGAATAGGATAGAGCTACACTTGTCTTTTAGATATGGCAGGGGACGGGTTTACTGTACTGATGAGAAATTTCTGTCATTGCTAAAGATGCCATTTCTCTGTTTGCGGGAGAGCAGAAGTGCGGCTGAGAGCAGACACAGGGCAGCAGTCCATCTTTTGAGGAATCTTCGTGCAGTGGAGGGACTGAAATACAATGCCATCGCCACTGGGCCTATTGGGGTTCCGAGATGACTTAGGGGACCTGACATAGATTGCAGGCTGCACCTTTCGCTGAAAATTAAATCTCAGTAGCTCTCCTCGGGGAAGGATCAGGGGACTGTTTGCAGCTGCCCCCTGTCAGCGAAAGCTACAAGATTTGGAAATCTCTTAACTAAGCTGACAGGCCACAGAGAGGATGAATCAAAAATCTGATACATGGATCAGCACACAAAGATGGGAGAGGAGAGAGGGTACCCAGGAGCCAGAGAAAATAGGAAAGAAAAATGTTAGTGGAGGAAGATAGTTAACTCTTTCATTCATGATAATAAGGTACATTTTAGCACCTGATGGCTTTGTAGTGTTCCAGGAATGCCCTTCTACTTTCACAGAGATTTTTCTCTTTTTAGTTCATTAGTTGTTAAGACTAGGCATGCTTCAAAAGATAACAAAAATGGAAACAAAAATCTATGCTACAGTGTTCTGGTCTTATTTTTCCAATACATTTCTGCCTATTCTTTCTACGAAGAAAATACAAACATAAGTAAGTTGGACATTGGGTAAATTTTATTGCATGGGGAAGGATTATTATTTTCTTTTCTTTCTTTCTAAACAGTTGACAACATCCTTTAGTCCATTACTGTTATGCTAAAATCCTCTCATGCCAGGTACAGTCCTGTTTGTATTTAGAAAGGTAAATAGATTGTAATCATGACAATTTGCGTCTCTTTTGTCCCTAATTCTCCCTTTCCACTCGATCCTATTATTTGAAATATTTAAAATATTGCCATTTCTTCAGTTTCCAATCTCTGCCTCTATTAACCAGTTTAGCCTAAAATTGATGATAATGAACTAATAGTGTCAGCTTCCTTTTCAGTCATAAAGCCTTTGTACTTCCTCCAACTGAATTCTTGATGAAAGAGGAAAAGATAACAGCTCCACACCGTGACCCCTGGAGGTGACCATTAATTTGACAGTGCAGCTGCTAAGAGAAAACAGCATTACAATGTCCTGTCTCCCCACCCCCTTCCAAGGACCCCAAAGCTGTGTCAAATTTATCATTTTATACTTGACTATTTTTAAATGGCTTTCACCTGGACTCTCAGACTCTTTCACGACACATCTGTCAGGCACGTCCTCGGTGTCTTGGAAGTTTGCCGAGTTTGAGTCGCTGTCATGCTTGACCAGACTGGCTGAAGCTATTAGAAAGAGAGAGAGCGAGAGAGAAAAGAAAGAGTGATGCAAAAGTAATAATAAACACCATTAAAACATTTCCTTTCAGTTCCACAGTGATTTCCAGGGACACATGATGTAAACACAAACAATAAATTGAAATAAAATGTATCCTCTAAGTATGTATTGGCAGACATGTAATTAGTTGAAAAATCTATAGATGAGACTTTATCTTAGAAGAAAAATAAGTTCATGGCATCAGCTTAAAAGCTACAAAGTAACAAAGTGATCCCTTCGAAGTAGAAATCGTATTTTTAATGCATAAATCTAAAACAATATAGTCAATTAATGGCAATAGGACACAGAGAGGGACATCAGGCTAGTCAATTAGAAAGACCAGTGCTTAGCTGGTGGAATGGTTCCCTTTGTCGCACAAATCACCGCTGATGAACATTTTTCATACATTGTTGTTCTCCATCAAATTAAAAAACTACGGTACCAATTATCTTTAAAAAAGCCCTATAAAATAATTTTTAAAATATAGAATGAATACACTGCACATGATAATGAAGAGGGCTGGTATTCTCCATGGGAGGTCTCCAGGAAACTTGTCATGAGACGTTATTTTCTGAGTAGGAATTATGAACAGAAACAGAAGCTATCACAGGAACCTAAAATTTCCTATAAGCACATTACAACCACTGGTTTCATTAGGGAAAACATAGACTCAAGTTTCCACATTTTCCCACAGGTTGTAATACTTGGTCTAAATTATCTCCATAAGAAACATGTTTCCATATTACATTTGTTCTCTGAATCGTATCTCAGGAAAAGTGGACATGTCTTCATGAGGAAAACCCAGTGAATAATAAAACAAAGCAAGCCTACAATAATATAAATTGTCACACTTCTCTGAAGTCAAACAACATACATATGTATATTTTTACTACATTGGAATTTTATCTCTTACAAATGGCTGCGGCAAGCACGACCACTGCTTCCTCAGGTCTTGATAGCACACGAGACATTTATAAGCAATAAATGCAATAAAGAAAATATATATTTATAACCCACACATGAAATAACACGTTTGTTGGCACAGGGGACACTGTTCCCAAACCTCCGTTAGGAGATGAGAGCAAGTGCAGAGGCTGAGGCCAGGCTACTTCACACATTCCATGAGTGGCACAGGGAATGGCCAGGCCCAAAGCAGTTTAGTAGTGCTCTGTTTGTTTGTTTTTGTGTGGTGTATGCATTGTGTTGGCGATCGCAGCCTGAGGCTCACATATGCACGCTTTAAAGGAGACTAGTAACATACTTCTGATCCACAGAGTCCGGTCCCCCCGTTTCAGCACCCCTCAGAACGGACAGTACTCTGTTCTGTGCAAGTGCCAGCAGAGTTTGGATTCACCGCATCTCTAAAACCTTTTGTTTGAGAACAAATTATGAGGAAAACATATAAATTCTGATTTTAAATGAATAAAACTTTTTCATGTTGTACATTTGAATTTTTTGAAAAAAAAAAAGAAAGAAAGTAGGTGGCCTGTTTTATTCACCTCTGTATATCATGGGCCATAGAAGGTATTCTTGAAGGATTTGCAAAATGAATGAATGAAGCAGAGGTACCCTGCTAACTGTCCTCCTGATCCGAGAGGATATGTGCTTTAAACTACTGTCAACTGTCTCTTGTTTAGGCCCACTTGGTATGAAGGATGCTTATTTGAAAAATGGTGGTCTGGGTTAGTCTGTGACTTGAAAGGAGCAACACGACACACATGACCTAAGGCGTTATTGGTGTAGATGCCTTTAATTTCCCCCAGTTTAGATCATAGTTACAGATTATTTTTGAATCCAAAGGTTTTTGTGAACTGTTTCAGTGGGATAATTAAATGCATCAAAATTGCAGAACAATATGACATTGGTCAAGATTTCTTGGCCTGTTTTAATAATTTTTATCTCTGTGTATCTTGCTAATTTTCTGAAATACTGATATTAGTATTTATAATAGGGAATTAATCATATAAGGAAATCTATTGCGAATGGCTAATGAGGTAGAACCTGTGTTTATTTGGGCAAATGCATAGCCCTTATCACCTCATACACTGTTCTTTCATAATTTAAAATGTTCACCTATTCATTCATTCTTTCATTTATTCATTCAGCCCATAAAACTCTGTTCTCTTCTAGAGGAAGAGAGCATGGTATTAGAACAGCAAAGTAAATACCTGCAAACACTTTTAGTGGCAATCAAGTGGCCCAGGATGAACTGACATCTCAAGAAAGCCCGGAAGTTTTTAGCTTCATTACACTCACGGGTGGGAGCCATGCAGCTATTTTTTTCTTCACCACTGATGTTGAAGGGTGTGGTTTGTGTGGGGGGGTAGGAGAATGGAGAATGGAGAAAGCAATTCTTCAGATATTTTGCTTCATTACACTTTAGCTTCAAATATGAGATGGTACGAGATTTGCCATTTTTACTGGATAGTTTATAGAGGTTCCAATTAAATTTACTGCAGAAGAAATACCTACACTCTGTCAATGGGGAACAACAGGTATTGGAAAGGTTAATTACCACCATTCTACTTTTTTTTTGAGAGACTAATCTTTGCAATTGTTCTTTTGGGTGTTTCCTGTGATATTTCATCATTAAACTCTGACATGATGTGTGACCAAGGCTTCTCTAATGAATCATTTCCAAAATGATGAAATCAACAACTATTGATTTAGTGCTTATTATGGATAGAGCTCCTTGCTAGACAATATGAGGGGTAAAAAAATGAAAGCACTTTTTATGTGCCCTCATACAACTTGTGATCTAGTTGAGGTATAATGAAAAGTAACTAGTAGGAGCATTAGAGAGAATATTTCAAGAGTGATATGGTTTTAAGGAATGGAGAGGTAATATCCCTGCAAGAGGGTAGTCTGAAAGTAAAATTTGAATTAGATCTTCTTGATAGGAAAAACGGTGAGCCAAATGGGAGTTCATTCAGGCAAAAGAAAAAGTTGTGTACCTGGCTGGGTATGACCAAAGAAGCATATTAGCTTAGTTCACAAATATACTTGTTAACAAAATGTTGCTGCCTATTTTTGTATGTATTTTTAGTGAATTCTTTGAGCTTTTTCTGAACTGCTGTTGTGGCTAATTCTTCTCACCTGTAGAAGTTAGTTATGGACAGGTTTTTCCTAGCCCTAGATAGTCAATAATTTGATCTTTACTGATGGTGGGCCCATTTATCACAGTAAGTTGTCCTTTCACTATACATATTGACTTTTATTTATCAATACCAAAGTCCATTTGTAGCTCATCACTAAAGTTCTTGGATATTTTCAGTAGTTTTTGAAGATGCATTTTAGTGCTTGGCAAAGAGATACTTTTGACATCAATATAGTTCAAATGGTTGCTAGGCTCATCCTTAACTTAAAATCAACTGTTTATTTCCTCTGTAATGGATTCTGAAATAGTCTGCATTTGGGAGGCAAGGGTCAAAAAAAATGAACTCTTCTTGACAGTTCTACTACTAAAGATGTAAGGCTCTTCCATTTACTCATCACACACCTCAAAATATTGACAACTAAAAGGCCAGTGTTCTAAATATCTTTGTGATATCTTTGGTAGCTATAGAGAGGGAGAAGTCCATGTACTTTGTATGGATGTGTTTGATTAGGGTGTGTGTTTAATGAGTATAATTCTAGATCCTAAACAAATGAATGGTTCAACTGTAGACAATATCAGATCAGTAAATTTTAAAATTGATTTTAGAGGAAGGGAGAGGGAGAGGGTGAGATAGAAACATTGATCAACTGCCTCCTGCAGGCCCCCTACTGGGGATCGAGCTTGAGTACCAGTCAGCAACCTGGGCATGTGCCCAGGATTTGAACTGGTGACCTCTTGGGGCATGGGATTATGCTCCCAACTGAGCCATACTGACTGGGCTGAAATCAGTAATTATTAAACCAAATTTAAGAATACCTAACAAACTCTGGTCAGTTTGCTCAAAGGTTAGAGCTTCTGCCTGTGGACCTAAGGGTTGAAGGTTCCATTCCCATTCAATGGTATGTACCTGCGTTCCGTCTAGGCTTGGGTCAAGCACATGCGGTAGACAACCAACTGATGTGTCTCTCTCACACACTGATGTTTCTCTCTCTCTTTTTCTTTTTCTCTCTCCCTCTCTTTTCTCCTTTCCACTGTCTTTAAAAATCAATAGGATTTATATATATGGAAACCCAGAAGATTGCATAGCAAAGGCTCTATAGAACAATTTACTATAAAAATGTGATGACAGGGTCAACAGTATTTATGTTCCTTCACTTCTCTCTGGTCTCTATTTTGATTTTGGTTAACCCCTAAAAATTCCCTTTCCTTTTCAACTCATTTGCAAATAGATGGTATTAACTTGTAAAGGTGGCTAGGCCTGGGCAGCAAACAACTCCAAGAAATATGCCCTCACCCCCACAAGAGGATGAATGAGCATTGACAAAAATCTCCATCTCCTTCACAAATAGTAACTTGTCTTTCCAAGCTAGGCCAGTATGTAGTATATGTAGAGCCCTTGTTAAAAATCCATATCATTTACAGTGTGAATAAAATCTGCAGTCCAAATAATGTTTTCAATACAATGACTTATATATGATTTAAAAATAGATCCCATTCATCACATGTATGGACTTTTTTGAAGTGTTGTAGATACTGATAGGAAAATCATTAATATAAACATATAACAGTTTGAAATATTGGTCAACTAAACAGAATAAATCACTGTATCACTGTAGTAGCAGATAAAACTCAGACAAAAATCTTAATCACACTTAAAAATAATGTAGAGTTTTCAGAGGTCAAGAAAGACTAAAAGACTGGTCAGATTTGTGGATGAGCAGGGGAAAGAAATAAATCAAAGTCCTGAGTTCAGTGTCTACTAGCTCAATATGGTGGCCAAGAGGATCACTTCCTTGGTTGATAATTTAGGTCTCTTCCTAATCTTAAGGAGTCAGTATGAAATCAACTAAAAAAAAAAATCTTTCCAGAGGC